CATAAATTTTAACGATTTTGAAGTTCCACTGGTTTTATAAGATGAGATTTAACGATGATATATGTTACACTTGGTCTTTACATATTAATACAATTTGAATAAATAAGAGTTATGGTTCCAATTACAGACTACCGATGAAAAAAATTATATAACAGTTTAAAAATCCAATATATTTAAAATCCAACATATTTAAACGACTCTACAAATGTGTCGATTTACACAAAGAGCAAAAAACCAAGAAACTTGAGTTTTAAGATAAACACTTAAAACCAATAAATAAAACTACAAATTTGACAGATCATAAGCCATGAAAAGACCAAAAAAGATGGGTTTTAGAATGAAATTTCAACTGCTTACCCTTTTTTCTTGTTCAAAAACTAAGATTAAGATTAAATTAATACATGTATATATATATTTCAAAAAAACCCAAGAACATATTTTTAACAGATTTTAGTTAATATACAATTATGTATGTTAATGTGATAAGGGTATACAACAAAAAATGAAAAGTAATGTATATAAAACAAATTAAATAAATAATTGTAAAGGTATAACATGTAAGTATTAAAAATAATTTTTGTAGTTATGGTATTTAATAATATGATTAACCAAAAATATTCAACACTGAGCTCATTTGAAGGTATTCACAAGACGATCATAATTGTGTAACTTGTTAAAATAAAAATTTGTTAACATATTTTATTTATTATACAATTATGTATATTAATGTGATAAGAATGTAAAATAAAAATGGAAAATGAAAATGGAAAATGAAAAAATTAGGGGTATACTAAGAAGTTAAATAATCAACTACAAGAGTATATAATGTAAGTATTAAAAATATATTTTCCGTACTATATATGATAGATAATAATATAATGAAATCCAAAAATATTCAATATTGTGTTCATTTCAAAGGTATTGAAAATACGATTATAATAATATAATTAAATAAAATAATATTAATTATTGAGTTCATTTCGAAGAGATTAACGAGACGATTATAATGGTGTAATTTGTTAAAATAAAACGTATTTTTTAACGTATTTGAGCTAATATACGTTTATGTATGTTAATGTGATAAAAGTGTAAAAATAAAATTTTAAAATAAATTAATTAAGTATAATGTATTTTAACGTATTTTAGCTAATGTATTTTAATGTGATAATGGTGTAAAAATAAATGATGTATCATAAATTAAATAAATAACTATAAAAGTATAAATCGTAAATATTAAAAATATTTTTTCACAGTATA